GCAAGTATAGTAAAGCAACGAACGTGGACACACGCGTTATGCTTTTTTCACTGTAGAAAATGATTTTCAAATAACTTTTTATCTCACTTTTTTTTATATTTTGATATATTATTTATATAATTAATTTTTTTTCTTTATATAAATTTTATAATACGAAATATATTTATTAATTTAATAATATATAAAAATCATATGAAAAATAATATAAAAACATTATTTGTTTAGCAACGCGCTTCTCACCGAGGATGGGAGCAGCAGACCAAAAAAAATTAACGCGCTTCTCACCATTATCTTGGTCGTTGCTGCCTGAATTATTGATTAAGAGGTAGTATTATATGGATAATTTTTTATATAATTTTTATATATAATTAAATAAATAAATATCATAAATTTTATATAAATTAAAAAATTAATTATTTTAATAACACTGAAATTATAGCAAAAAAGTTATGGAAAAAGCATTTGACTTCATTAAAAACCGTCGCCTTCTTTCTCGCTGTACAAAAGTGGCCTCTCAACTAAAAATCCCCAACCGAATCTGCGACTATCATGCGTTCTCACCACTCCTCCGCCGCCCGTCCTGCCCCTCATCATAGTAATACCGACTTGGTTTTCTTAACAAAATCTCCATAATTGCAAGTTTGGTTGGAGCAGTGTGCTGTAAAATGAGAATTCCGTAGATTTTAAAGGGAAAAATCAAATTAATTAAATTGAATTACTAGTAACTGATGATACAGGGGAAGTTCTAATGCTATCTATACAAAAAATTTTCTCACCCAGAAAACTACCGAGGAAAAAAGAAATACATTCAAATCTGATATAAATTCTCATACCAAAGATAGCTAAGAGTTCCTAATTCTATGATTCTAGGCGACTTCGATCTTGGGTACTGTCAGGAAGCGGGGTTTCTTAATCATATGGGGACTCTGGACCTCTTCATCGAAATGGGTAGCCGGCAGGTTGAGGTCAAAGTCCCGGAGGCTGAGGTGACTGGCTGTGTTGGTGTTGGAGTTGGTGTTTGTGGTGGTGGAGCCCACGCCTTCAGAGGAAGTGTTGCCACTGTTTCCAGCGCCTCCATCATAGTGGCACCTCTTGTGTCCTCCCAAGGCCTGACCAGTGGGGAACCTCTTGTGACAGATGGAGCACTCGTGTTGCCTGGCCCCGTTAGAGATCGCTCGAGCGGTGGTGGTGGCCTCAGCGGAGGCAGTAGTAGTGGTAGTTGACTGGTCGTCGCTGCCGGAACCCTTGCGGTGACTAGCCTTGTGACCGCCTAGAGCCTGGTAAGAACTAAACGCCTTGTTGCAAACGCTGCACTTGTATGTCAATTTCAGCTCCGGTGCTGTTGTAGAGGTCGGTTCGGGAGTAGAAGTGGGGGAGCGGTGGCGCTGTGGTATACTGACAGTGGATGAGGTAGCAGGACTGCCATGAGCAAGCATGATAAGACAAAGAGCAAGGTACTCTTCCTCACTCTGAGGAACATGGTCAATACCATGCTCAAGACGGGGTCGCTTGGAACGCTTTCCCTTGGTCCATGACTCCGTGCAGTGGAGATTAGCAACATCGTCAAAAGGGAAAGAAGGTCGGCCGGCAGCCACTGGAGAGTTCAGAGCTTCCAAGGCCATCAAAGCTGATTTACTATTCAAAGGATTTGAGGAGAGGCTGTGTATGCCTTAATTTGGAAGGAGAGTGAACGAAAGAGTGAAGAGATAGAATTAAGGGAATTGTGTGTTGTTGAGTAAGAGTGGAGGTGGGGATGTTTATATATAAGAGGAATGAAGTGGGAGAGAAGTTGCATGACAAGTGGTAAGAATATGCGTATGTTACTTGGTGGGGAAGACTAGACGATCTAGAGTCGGTCGTCAGACACTGAGGAAGTGAGTTAAGCGAACATAGACTTGAGGCCTTCTACCAAGTCAAAACGCGGTTGTTAAATTGAAATGTAAACGACCGTACTGCGTCAAAGCAGCCGGCTCCACTACTACTTTCGACCGCGGTGACTTTTCGGACGTTTAAGGCCGACTCCAAATCCCACCAGTACTTGCGACATACGATTTTCGTTAGGTGCCACCTCATTGGAGTAAAAATTGTTTTATCTTGTAACGTGTCAATGAAGTAGGTGAAGAGATTATTTCAACCTTCCAAAGGAAGCTTCCTGTAGACGAGGAAAGTAATACTATATAGAACTGAAATGCATCACGTTTTCCTGGTCGTAGGAGATGAAAATGCAAAATTGTATATGCCGTTTTACCCACTGCGAACCTGAGAGATATACATTGAATTTGGTTGACTATTATAATTTTATTCCACATGTCAATTGGGGTTATTTTTGGAACTCTGAAGAAAAAATTTTAAAATGAAAAGGAAAAACGAAAACTTCTTAAACAAGGACCAGCTGAGTCATGAGGAGGTTTTTATGTGTTTTCTTTTTCGAAATTTATTGGGTAGTGTTATTGGATTTCTTCGCCGAGTGGGTTCTCTGGAAAGCCGCAGGAAGGTACGCGAAGCATCCAGACACCCAAGAACTTGTTGGCAAGGTGTCACAGTTGCGCCGACAATTGGTTACAGCACTGTGGTCCCCACCTTAAAATGCGATGAGAAACTGTCCTCGTAAAGGAGGAGAATAAGGTTTAGTACTTTCAGTTCAGTTTCGCCACCGACCTTCACACATGATTTAGGACGATAATGTTAGGAACTTGAAGAAAAATGTTATATAGTTTCATTCAAATAACACAAATCGATATAACGCTTCATGCCAAAAAATGAAAAGAAATATTGCTACCACATGATTCATGTGGTAGAAGGTACTAGTGGGCATCTTGAGACTGCGTTTTCTTGCCCCGGATAAGATGAGAAAAAATGTTCCTTTATGATTCTGGAAATAAATCGCTATATATGAAAAGCAAACGACTACTAACCAGAAGAGTATGGTTCTGTTAAGATAATCCCCGAATCTTCAGATAAACATTAACCACATATTTGAACTAATCAAGCTCGAGAATGTTCTATGAAAATTTGTTTGACAAGTTCTGATTAGGATGCATAAAGAAAATCTATCAATCATAGAAAAATATGTAGATTTGTTATCTTATTTATCATTAATTAATTTTTTAATATCAGAGATCAAATTTCGATTATGACCACACACTACAGATTGTTGAGGCAAACATATTATATTTTTTATTTTGTTAAAATATTTTCTCCTTTTTTTTTTTAAACATAAGAGTAAGATTTGAATTCTATCTCTTCAAATTATCCTTTACAAAACGTAAATAACCACTTAAACTACAAGTACTTCTGTTGATAAAATACTTTTTTGTTCATTCAACTCTATGTACAACACTTACTAAATGAATGGGTAAAAATATAATTTTCATGTGACCATAACCCAAGCCCGAAGATCAAGTCCCATTTTTTAATGAGTCAATTTGTTATTAACCTACGTGACAATCTTGTTTAAATAGGAAAATTTCAACCTAAGGGGTGGGTTTACTCTCCATTAGATATATTGATTAAGGTTCAATTTTTTGGAGAAATTAATAAAAAAAATTAATTTTTTTAAAAATTTTTTAATCTCAACATTGATGATTTATCTTTAATAAGATAAAAATAATAATTTTAAAATACACATAAATTAACCCAAGTACATCCTTACTGTTAAATAAAAAAACAGAATAGAAAAATTCCGTAATTTGCCCATACTAGGGGCTGCTAGCTCAGTGGTTTTCAGTTAGCCCTTTGGGCCAACTTGACACAACTGCACTAGAGTAAAGATGCTTTTTATGTCTATCATGATTGTTTTTATAAAATGTTGAATGAAGTCATTGCTTACTCAATCCGCTTTTACCTCGTCAGCCACATGAAAACCGAGCGAAGCAAACTACAGCTCAACAACACATGGGTTTCAGACCAACAGATGAGAGCTTACTATTTGGAATCTTTCCTCAATGTAAAGCTTATACAGGGAAATGAAAAACGTGTGTTTTTCGACCTTTTACTTAAAAATAGCTTTTGTTTTGCAATTCATTAGTAGTATGCATATCTCTTGTAGCTTTTCTTAAAAGACGGGGGAATTAGAATAGTTTTTGAGGGATAAAAAATGATTGAATTAATGTGCTTGGAGAAGAAGTATCAGATACCGCCTTACAAATATTCACAACAGGAGTTTAAGAAGAGTCATTGAGGATTGGTGAGGAATAAGAATTGTTCAATGAATTCTTAATTACACCAGTAAATTTGGGTCATGGTAGGATAGACAATGACATAGAGAGGCCGTTTTCGATGCCACTTGCGCGGTGTTGGACCCATTTGTTATCTCCGCGTAATGGACATGGTCTATGTCGCCCATCATTCGACGTCCACACAGCAATTAATTTAACCAGCTACAACTGTTACATGAAATAAATTCTATTAAAATTTAGGTATAATGGTATGCCAAAGACTTTTCAAAACCCTCATGCTTAATTTATGATGGATACTCCTAATGAGTTCAGCCATGATGTATTGTTCATGCTTCTGAATGGAGGAGTTGACCTCTTCTTAATTCTTAAATATATATATTGATGTGAGATCCTTTCTTCTCAATCAAACAGTCGGTTGTAATTTGTTGGGGTGTGGCTGTAAAATGAGGACATTGTAGATAGGATTATATATGTGCCACAAGTTTTCACAAACATATGGTTCGTTTTGATATGTAAACCTTGAAACTATATACAGTTTACAGTTAATCAATCTTTTCTTTCCTTTTCTTTTCATCAAAGCAATTCATAAATGACTTCACTCTT